TTTTTTTCAATTTTTGAGGGTAATGTCTTCGACTAGATACGATTTGTGATCTTTTGACGTATCATTGAAAGAAATCGGTTCGGTGAGAGCTGAGAAAAAGTGGTAACAGACACGCAAAAAAAAACACATCATAGTAAAACCAATACCTTCTCAGCTTCGCATCGAAGCTAAAAAAAGAACTTAAATAAAGTTTTTTGTAACTTAAATTGCACAAATTGCAAATTAATATCTTTTGGAGTACTGGTACAATAGATTTATTGACTAATTAAATATGTATGTTTTCAAATAAAAAATCAGTTCTAACATTTTTAGGGAATGATGCTAAAAAATAAATAATCATTGATAATCTGTTTATAAAATATAATAAACTTGGATCATTTAATTTTTAAGGCTTTGGGTATGATTCAAATTCATATCAAAATTTCCCCACTTTGATTCTTTTAATATTAGCTTTTTGATTAATATAATAATTGTGTTGATAAATGCTCTTTGATAACTTTTATTTTCATACACTCCTCGATTTCATTAATTATCAAATATGTTTTTAATTTATTCCTTAAACGTTATAAACTATTTTTTTTTGTTGAATTCGTGAATGAACACTTATCACAACATACTAAAAACAGTGTGTAAAATATAACAAATGTCATTATAACCTAACTGCATGAGTAGCCTACGCTGAATAAACAAGTAATATTATTTGTGTTACGTCGTGTAGCTGAATCTGTGAATATTGCGCAAATAGCCTTTAACATGTGGTGGTATCCACAGAGTACCGACAACACTTAACAATAGGGTAACCCAACCAAACCCCATGATGTAACGATACTAATACATAACCACTTATTTCTGGTTATATGAATTAGGGTTATATCGCACTTGCGCGCAAGTACTCGTGCAGTTAGTTTTTACTTAGAATTGTTCTAAATGTTAATCTTATTGACTCATCAATGCTATTGTGTTATTTATAAAATTGTCTATTGCAGATAAATTTATTCTATGCAACAAAAAAAAACTTACTTATTACTTATTAACTTACTTATTATTATTACTTATTGCCTCTCTTATTCAATTAATCATTCTCATTCGTTAATCCACACATCTACTTCTAAAAAATACAATTAGGCATAATTAAATATCTAATATAACATGATTGTGTTGTAAATTAATTATATCTAATTTTGTAAAACATATATATAAGTATTACGCACAAATAAATTGTGTGAAATATAAATAAATAAAATACAAACACAAGTTATTCGGTAAATTATTTATTTGAAAATGATCAAATAAATACCGATACAGTCCTGCGTTGCATCGCGTTGCACGAAGCTTCTTGACACTTGCCACCTTTATATGCCGTCGCCATACTACGTGTATGTGGTAGTTTGACTGACTGACTGTTCCGCGTGTCATATGCAACGGTACCAAGTGCAGCAAGTTCCGCACATCCGACGACGACCGGACGCAAATATACGTGGGTGTCATCTTCGTGACTCTGCCTGATTTGGATCTAACCTACATAACACCAACGTATCTTTTAGTACTTTTTTACAATGTTATTTTTTATTCAAAGCTATGCAATATTATGTGGAATTATAGACATATCTAGGGCTTGGTGCGAATAAACGGCTCTTCGCTGATTTTGAATAATGATGTCATCTACATTATTTAACACTTCCTAACAATTAACAAGCAGTTCCAACATTTCTTTTTATAAAAATATTTTCACAAGTCCTAAATATGAGGTAAAACATTGTAATAGTGTGACAGTATGCTTAATATATTTTGCAAATTAAAACTGACTCTTACTGTTCTAAAATTCATATTTAAATTTTAACTTTATAAATATTTATTAGTTTACTTTAATAATTGCCAAAAACTAATTTATAACTTAGCACTGATATTTTTTAGGACTCGCATCCCATATCAACTTTTTATGCAAACTACATGAAAAAAGTTATAAAGGAAATGGTTAATAATGATGAAAAAGCTATTAAACTTTTTATTGAAGGAATGGTAAATTCACCACATTTGACAGAAAATGGAAGATTACATTTAAATACTATAATTCAGTGGATGATTGATTCAGGTATTTGTAATTTATTTTTTTTATCATACATATACAGAATGGTTTCTTTAAAACAACCTATTTAATAACTCACATAATGAAAATATTTTAATTATTTTTAATTACTTTTAGGTACATATTATTCATTATGTTATGTAATACTTTTTAAGTTCATACTTTATGCTTTGTATGGGTGTCAAATTTGATTTTTCAAAGGGGAACATACATTTGAAACATTTTTCTTTTTCATGGTGAAGTATATTATACAGAGTAATTTTTTGTCATAACCCATTAATTACTTATAGAATAAATATAATTTAAAGATTTTTTTTTTGGTTATCTTTTATTACACATTATTCTTAAATTATTAATTATATAAACCAATTAGCTACCTGTATTTGTAATCCCTTTTATATTAAATACATGTACATTTTTAAATGTTTATACCTAATAAACGAATAAATTTTTATTAAAAATTCAAATGCCATTTATTATTGAATTAAAAACTCAAACATTTTATTAAATTAAAAATATGTGTTACCATTTAAAAAAACAAAGTTGACCCCCTTCCAAGGCATAAGGGATGAACTTAAAAGGTATTACATAGTGAATAATTCAAGAATAATGTGTAACTAATGATAATCAAAAAAAATGTTTTTATTATATTTATTCTCTAAGTAATTGATTTGTTTATAGTAAAAAAATCACTCTTTATAAGCTATAAAAAAAGTGTTAATATTTCCGGAACACTTTAAAAATTAAGTTGGAAAAGTTCATTTCGTGTACAAAAATTGATATCTTGAATTTCTCTTTTTGAGCAGGTTAAGCGTCAAATTTTCAAAAAAATGTATATCAAATAAATGGGAAATATCTAACGTTTCAATATATAAATAAATATGATGATTCGTTCATTTTTAAATAAGTTATAACTATTTTAAGAATAAAAATTTTAAAAAATGTTGAAATATAATAATTTTAACAATCGTAATTTTTTTGGGGAATTCCACCATTTACTACGATTGTGGGGATTTTTTCAATTTTTAAGGGCAAGTCTTCAAGTAGATACGATTTGTGATCTTTTGACGTGTCGTTGAAAGAAATCTTAGTTAAATCAATACTTTCTCAGCTTCGTATCAAAAATAAAAAGTTTTATTGATTCATATATTTTTCAAATGTACTTCAAATGCCGATCCACGAATTCATTGTAATGTATATATGTATAAGGTATAAACTTGTTATTGATATTTGATTAATATTTGATACTTTGAATCCATAACTCGTAATGAAGTTTGAGTGAAATTTAGCTTTTTATAAAAAGTGCAAAACAGCATGACAATAATCCAATTAAAGCAGGTTATATTAAGTGGTCAAACAATAACTCATACAATTTTATCGTTCTAACAATGTATTTAAATAATATAATAAAGGTATATTATAATTGTACTGTATATTAATCATTATACTTTAATCGAACAACTGTTACATGCAAGACATCTAGTTTTTAAATAATTTTTGAACATAAAAGCACTATTTATAAAATAACTAATCTTTAATTTATGTCTAAATAAAACTGTTAAATCTTTTTATAACGTTAAATGAATACACGCTTTAATTACTTTTTATAGAAGAGTCATAACACAATATGAGGGATAGTATAAATGTAATGTGTACGAAGATGAAGATGAGGATGTGGTGCCTGCTGTCTAGGTATTCACGTGCGTGTTGTCGTACAGCAGTCACCTTGCTCGTCTGAAACTCCGGGTTAGCTGTGGGTGTCGAAAGGCTGTTGTTATAAGAAGGGAATAAGGGTAATACCTAGGTATGAGGTGCAGACGAAGTACAAGACACAAATACTAGGCGTATCAGTTAAGGAATGTTACGTCGCTATTTAGGGGTTGAGCCTAAATGCCCGTCAACAGTATTCTAAGGGACCAACGGGGGATAGCTGGCTAGGCTATATCTACCTTAGGTACTGAGGTTTCCTATTTAATTTATATTCCCTTAGAGAAACTACCAAGGGTTGCACTACAATATATATATATATATATATATATATATATATAACACTCTTGGTTAACAACGATATAAATAAATATTTATTAAATGATTGAAATATTAAATAGATAATACAACCTGCTGGACACCTAGAGATGATATAATCCAACATGGAGCTGACGGCGACATACACACACACTATATATACGTGGTAGAAAAGTTAAGTTAATTATCAGACAAAAGTAGTGATCGCGATGATGGTAAAAGGTCAACTGTCGATAGGGATATCTTATTATGGCACATTGGCCGTGAATTGCAAAAGTGTTTATGTGTGCAGTCTGTCCTCCTGTTAGTATTGTTGTATGTCACTGTGTTAATTATATATATATATTAAACGGTACAATGATGTTATGGGATAGAGATATAGGCACATGCAAATGTGATCGTATCAGGAGTATAACAAAATACGAGGTGCACAAAAAGTGCAAGACACAAGTACTTCAAAGAGAGAACGGGGTAACCAAGTATGAGGTGCAGTCGAAGTGCAAGACACAAGTACTCTGAAATGTTGTGGAATAGAGTAGATAGGTTGAAAAAGAAATAAAACAAAGACTTTAGTTTAAGTAATAAGCCGGACAGCGACATCCGAGTACTGAGACTGATGAATTACACAAGGCACTAGAGTCGACTGACCAAGATGGTCAGGTCTTATGGGTTTTTATAATAATTTGAACTATTGCCAATATGGCATTAAATATTATTTGTTAATTCATCAGTCTCAGGAAGCGGATGTGCTGTCTGTATTTTATTATAATAATTCTCACAATAGTAACGTGACACCATCACAGAAGTTTATGAAAAATTCATTACTTATAATAATATCCAAAAAAGTAATTTTTGAAAAAAAATACCGAATCTTAAAATTATAAATTTTTTGCATCGAATATTCTATTATATTCATCCGATGTTTAGTAATTTAGTGTAAGAGTTACAGTGTACAAAGTGATCATAAGCCATTTAATTACTCACAAAAAAACGGTAGCACAGTGGGGTCGCGGCATAGTAGAGACATTGCATAGTAGGGTCCAGTATAGATTTAATCTGACAGTGATTAAAATCACTATCATAAGAAACGCTTCGATGCAAATCTGTAGATAGTGTTTAATTTTAAAAAATTGATGGATAATTGCAAAAGCAACATCAACTTCTATTAAAATAAAATACAAAACCCATAATTATCATACAAAAATAGTATATTTTTCAATATGGTAGCCATTTGCG